CCATCCTCGCGTGTGAGCTCAGAGCTGCGGAGCCGCCATGGGGGAGACAGAGCGACCATCCCCAGCGGGAAGGGGATGGTGGGGCCGCCAGAGAGGTGAATCCTCCTCCTGGGCGGCTGCACAGAGATTAAATAACTACCGTCAGAGGGCTTTTTCCCACCTGGATTTGGGGTGCTGGGCTGACACCTAGCCCCGAGGAAGGACCAGGCTCTCCCAGCTGATGCTGTTTGCTGTGGGGCATTGCTTCCCCACGCTACAGAGCTGGTGATTTCCTGCCGGGAAGAGTAATGCTGGGACAGGAGCTGGACACGGAGGGACTAGACCTCAGGGCTCCAGGATAGTGCACAGCCATCCTGCTGGGAAACCTGTCCAAGAAACCTCTCTTGGGTCTCCACGGCCAGCAGCATCTCAGAGGCTTTAAAAAGGTCACTTCTTGGTGACAAGGAGAGATTTTGCAGCAAAAACAGAGGCTGAAGAGACTCCTGACTACACAGGCAGTGGCTGTAGGCACAGGATCCTGGGGACAGCCCTGTTCCAGAACAGCATTTTTGAGGACATGGTTTCTGTCTTGGTGCCTCATATGCTGTCCGCAGTGTTAAGGCCTGTGCTGAAAAGTCAAAAAATATTTAAAAACCCATTTTTTGAGTCTCCTCTGGGTCCCAATCCTGCAAGGACTATGACCCTCCCTCCCAAAACCCTCCCAATGTGTGGCATATAGGATGACCCCTGCACAACATGCTGTGGAGCCTGCTGTGCCCTGCCAGCACCAGTGAACACTGCGGTGGTGAGCACAGCCTGTTCCCACCTGGCAAAGCCACTGCCGGGGCAGCAGAGGGTGCTGGGGTGGGTTTAGTAGCTCCATGCAGATGAGCAGCTGCAAACCAGGAGCACATCAGCCTGCTGAATGGGTCAGTTCACCCCAGTGCACCCATGGCTGCTCCCTACTGCTCCTGGGGAGCTGCTGCACCTGGATGCAGCAGAGCCAGCCCATCCACTCCCTCTGCAGCCATCCCTATGAGGACCTCATTCAGGTTCAGAGGGTACGTATTTTCCCAAAAGCTTTGTCTCTAGGACCTGTTTTGGGGCTGCTTCCCTAGAGCTACTGACCAGTATCTGCCCAGCTGCTCTTTGGCAGAGTGCACCATCCCTCTGGCACCACAGCAGGCCTTTCCTCTTCATGTGGTAAAGGGATGAAGATGGGCCTGAGACATCTTGCTCCTTCCCAGAGCGGGCAAAGCCAAGTGCAGCCCTGTGACCGCCTCAGCCTCAAGTGGGGTGTCTCCCTCTCTGCCTTTTGCTCCTTACTGCTGGCTCCCTCTGAGGCCTCACCACATTTCCCTCTGCCTTTGCAGCAGGAGGGTAGATAGCTGCACCTTGTGCATGGTGTGGCAGCCTGACACTGCCAAGAGACAAGTGGCCCTTCCAGAGGCAGCGAGAGGGGCATGGGGACGCCACATTGGAGATGTCACCGGCCCCTTGCTGTCCTTGTGCCCCCCAAGTGCCATGCCCTGACCGCCCCATGGCCGCCGGCCCCAGCAGCGGGGTGGCTCACACTCGCCGCCCCCGCCCGTCTCCACCAGCACCGTCTTTAATAAGAAGTGTGGAATATTTTAGCACCTATGTAAAAACCACCACAGACGGTGGTGGCAGCCGTTGCCAGGGAGACGCTCCCAAAAATAGCCCCACTCCGCCAACCTTTCCCAGTGCCACTGTGGGGATTGAGGGAGGCAGAGGGATGGAGGGATGGAGGGATGGAAGGGTGGAACGAGGGACGGATAAAGGGATGGAGGGATGGAGGGAAAGAGTGCCATACAGATGGACAGAGGAATCTTTGGAGGGATGAATGGAGAGAGGAGGAGTGAGGGGTGGTTGAAAAGATGGAGGGAAGAATGGATAGAGAGAGAAAGGGATGAGAGGGATGGCTGGAGATGGATGGAGAGATGGGTACAGTGGAAAGCAAGAGCTCCTGGGAAGGTGAGAAAACACTGCCTGCCTCTTCTCCTGCCTGGGCATCAAGAGACGAGCAACCTGTATGACAGCAGCCCCTACTTGGACACCCGTGGTCCTGCACTCCTGTAATACCAGCTAAGCCAGCACAAACCGTCAAGCCTTCTCTGTGTTGAGCAGGTCTGACTTTGGGTGTTTAAACCAGAGAGCAAAATTCTGGGCTCCTTAGCACCTGCCGTGTTCCGTCTGCAATCTTCCACCGACCATCCTATCTCTGTCTGTCTGTCCCCAGCATTCCAGAACTGCCCAGCCAACCTGATCTGGTCATGGGGGCAGAGATGGTGAGACACAGAGGTGACCCATGGTGCTCAACCCCACCGTGTTCCCCAGCCCCTCTGGGAATGCAGAATCATTGCCCTCTCTTAGACAAATCCTTGAGACTGCCCACTCTCCCAGAAGGTCTGGATGTAGCCTGATCTACATCCTGCAGCAGAATTGGAGGGAGACACCTGGAGAACCACCAGGGGCAAAAGCAGAGAAGCCTTTTTGATAGAAGGAAACATTTGTTTTAGTGATTAGGAAATGCCCTTTTGTCCCTCTTCTCATCCCACAGCCATCACCTCATAGGCAGAGGTGGAGAAGGGCCCTGAATTAAGCTGCTGCTCTCTGGCCCAGTGGCTCTGCAGGAGGAGCCTTCCAGACCAGCAGAGGCAGAGGGAAACCCCAAAAATAGAACTAAAGGAGGAGGGATTGGGGGGGGGGGGGAGAGAGAGAGAGAAAAATAAACCAAACAACCCCAAAATCTCATTTTTAATATCAAATCCCAGCTCACTTTCCTCCTTGTCACCCTGGCGACATTCCTTGTGGTCACCATGGAAACGGGAGGCATGGAGAGAGCATCACCATGCGGGGTGGTGGCAGCACCCGGCATTATTTTGGGAGGCAGGGAGACACCCGGCGCAAGGAACTTGGCATTGTGGCAGGGCAGGAGGAGGGAAGGTTTATTTTTACTTGGTCCCACTCCATGTGCCAGTTTTGTCTCTAAGAGCCTGGGTGTCCCTTGCACTGCAGCAGCTTTCCTATGGCCCCCATGTACCACACAGGGATGGTGTTCCATGGGGACACCCCAGCCTTACCACCCTGTTCCAGCTGGGTGGGCTTGATTGGGCTGCTCCCATGAAGTCCCTCTAATGGTCACCTCAGCTGGTGGTTCCAGGTGCCAGAGTGGGAGATAATGCTGGGAGTTGGGCCCATCAGCTCTTCTTGGGAAGGTGCAAGATGAGGAGAATAAACCTTTGCCTTTCTCTGGAGGGGACTTCTTTCCTTGGGTGGGACAAGAAGCTGCAAAGAGGAGTGCAGGGACAAGAGAAAGACAAAGGCTCTCAGACATTGCACACCAGGGGGTTGGAAGGGGATTTCTTGGAAGAAAGGACTCCAAATCTGTTCCTTCCCCCCAACTTTACATCCCTGCTCCATGGATCAAAACTCTGCCTACCTGCAAAAGGACCTGGGGTACCAGGGACCTGCAGGGCCACCAGGGCTGGGGCTTGGCTTTTACCAGCACCCACATGGCCTTGTGAAGCCCTGCTGAAATCCCAGGCAGCTCCACTCTGATGTCTGGAAACCCAATTCAGGCAGTCCTTGCCCTTTGCCAATCGTCTCTTTTGCTCTAACCCACCCTTGACCCACCGCAGCAACCCCTGCCTCAGTGCCCTGGCTGGGAACAGGCAGGGACGTCTCCAGTTCCGTGGGGCTGAGCAGGTGTTTTCCAACCCGGCCTGTGAATCCATCTGGAAAAGCCCTGTGATGCAGGTGCTGGAGCGTCAGAGAGGGAAAACACAACCGCCAACCTAATGGGCAGGGAGGAAATGTATGCAAATATATTCAGAAAGGGAGCCGGTGATGCTAATAGGCTTGTTAATCCTCTTGGAAAGCACCAGGAATAATATTTTTACACTTTGGTCGTTAAGCATTTTACTCCAAGCAAGCCCATAAGGAGAGAGAGACATGCGTAGAGGATGGCCAAAAGTCATGGCTGGGGACAGGGAGGGCAGCAGCCAGAGCCAACTTTGGGACAGGAGCAGGCAGGATCACACAATCCAAGGGTAACCAAATTAGACCCGTGGCCAGATGCGATTTGCTCAGGGCAAGGCGACAAATTACAACTTCCATTTGGTTGTACTAAAGCAGCTTTGAATTAGTGATTAGCTATTGACTACCTAATTGCTGGATCTTGATGCAGAGGTCTCTCTGCTGCTGCCATGAGATCTCCCTGTGTAACTGCTGCTCCGAGGACAAGGTTCATCCAAAACAAGCTGGTCACCCGGCTTAATATATTTTCAAATATATTAAAACTTTCTAACATTCACTACTGAGCTCTTTTCTGTGAAATCTATAAAACCAGCAGCAACCACATGCTTCTTTCACTCAACAAATTCCCTACATTTTTTGTAACTCTCTGGAATCCAGGATTTCCTTCTAAGAATCCAGGATTAATATTTTCAGTGAAGTTTGTTTCAAACCAGCCCTTGGGAGAATATTTTCTTTCTCCATGGCTGTGCTCAGGGATCCACTCTGCTCCAGATAGGGCATCTGAAGGAAGGGGTGTCTGGTAGGGCAGACACCAGGGAATGGCTGTCGCTGTGGAAGAGCTGCAATGGGTTGATAATTCAAATATCTCTCCACTTCTTCTTTGGCTGCAGGAGCCAAGGTGGAGCACTGGTGAGAAGGTGCTGCAGGTGGGATGGGGCCGGTAAGGGCAGAGAGCAGAAGGCTGGAAGCAGCACAGAGGTTACTGCACCCGTGGCGAATATTCCTGGAAAGTCTGGCCCTCGCCGGAGGGTGTGTCCTCAAGGCCAGAGGATGGGAATCCTCTTCCCTCTGCCTTTTCCCCTTTAACCACACTTCCGTGTGTAACTTGAGACAAGCAGGGAAGAAAAAATAGGAAGGGGAAAAAAAAAAGAAAGGGAAAAATAGCGCAGTTATTCCCGCCTCTGCCTCCTCCTCTCTCTCCTCCCCGGCCAGCCAGGAGCCACGTCACCGTCACCCAGCGCTGGCTGTGGGGCTGCTCAGCCTGGAGAGCTCTCCGGGACACAAACTCCAACTTTCAGCCCAAAGCAGAGGGAGAAAGGCCCTGCTCTGGGTGAGGGAGAATCCACCTCGGTGGAAAAGTAAACAAGGGAAACATCCAGGCTGGCAGGGGAAAGGCATCTGCAGCCACGGGACAGGGGAGACGGCACTTTGTGTTAGGAGAAGGAAGGGCTCCGTGCTCAGGGAGAAAGGAAAGTTGAGCCGAAGGAGACCGTTCATTCAGCCGAGGCTCGGTGGAGAAAAACTTCCTGCCCTCGCCCTCTCTGCCTGCAGAAAGAGCCCCAGCCCCTCCAGCCCAGAGGAGTCCCCCCAGCACCATGAACATCTTCCGCATCCTGGGGGATGTCTCCCACTTGCTGGCCATCATTATTCTCCTGCTGAAGATTGTGAAGTCCAAGTCCTGTGCTGGTGAGTGCTCCCATGTCCCAGGGAAGGAGGGTGGCCCTTCTCAGAGGGCAGTTCGGTGAAGGGTACAACAAAATGGGAGCTGGAAAGGCCAGTGATAGCCCATAGGAACTGGCAGCCCTCCCCCGTGGGCTCTTTGAGGGAAGTCATCCTCTTTCTCTGGGAGGTTTCCCGGCTAGGAGAGGGCTGTGTTGGATGTGATGTGGCAAGGTGTACAGCCTCAGGCAGGTGTTGGTCTCAGGGTGGTGAGGTGAAGGAGAGGGTGACAAGGCTGGAGGGAGGTGGAAAATGAGAGCAGGAGTTTGCGGCAGCACCAACACCAACAACCTGGAGAGGAAGCTGCTGTAGGTTGGAGGTTCTGCCAGTGGTGGGCAGGTGCCAGAGGCTGCCCCATCCCAGGGCGAGGAAATCAGGACAGCAGCTTCCTGCGCTGGAGTTTTGCTCATAGTTCCCTCCTCAAGAGATTTTGGGGCTGAGCTGCTGGGGCTGTGGCCATTATCACAGCTACAGAAGTGGGTAGGCCAAGTTCCGCCAGTGCCCGGGGCTGGTCCTGCAGCTCTTCCCTCCTGTGGCAGTTGTCACATCACACAGTCCCCTGATGAGGTGGGCAGGCAAAGGGGGAAGGGAGGCAAGAGAAAATGGCCTTTTGACGACAGCAAGGACTGAACTGGCCAAAGTGGTGAACATGCCCACCGAGCACCAGTTCCTGCAGGCAGCACTCGGGGGCATCAGCAGGAACCTGCCCTGTTACCTGGGTGACTCTGGACAGTCTGGGGTAGAGCTGCCTCAGCAGCCACACACCAGCCCTGGCTCACAAAACAACACACATATCAATGTAAGGAGGAGGCACCATCCCACAGACCCCTCCCTTCATCTGCTTTCCTTTCATCTCCCTGCCACGCAGGAATCTCTGGGAAGAGTCAGATACTTTTTGCCCTTGTCTTCACAACCCGCTACCTGGACCTGTTCACGAATTTCATCTCTGTCTATAACACTGTGATGAAGGTAAGGAGAGGGCAGTGCAGCAGGAGAGATTCCCCTCAGCTTGACATGGTTTCTTGAGGAGGTGAGGGCACACAGTCAGAGTGGAAGGGTGGATAAGGATGCTTCTTTTGGTGCCACTGTCACTCCATTGACCAAAACCGCCTTGCCATAGCCAGTGAGTGCGCTGAGCCATATTTAGGACCACTTAAACCAGAACAAGATGCCATGAACCCAGCCTGGGTGTCCTTGTACAGCAGGAGCATTAACATAAAGCTGCTACCAAGCCAACATCTTCACAGAGTGCTCCAGAGGGACTCAAACGTGAGATTCTCATGGTGGGGCAAGCTTTACCTGATCACTGGAATATTTCCAACAGAAGTCAATCTGTAAGGCAACACAGGCAAAGCAGTCACCACTATCTTGACTTCTGGGAAAGCCAGCCTCTCTTTAAGCATGGAAAGTGCAATTGCAGGTAAGGTCTTGCCATCTCCCTTCTCTTCCACAGGTAATTTTTTTGATTTGTGCCTACGTCACTGTGTATATGATCTATGGGAAATTCCGGAAAACGTTTGACAGTGAGAATGACTCCTTTCGCCTCGAGTTCCTGTTGGTCCCTGTCACAGGCCTGTCATTTCTGGAGAACCACAGCTTCACCCCCTTGGAGGTAAGGAAAAGCTGAGACAGGAAAAGGGAAGGCAAGCAGCAGCAGCCTTACACCAGGCAGCAGAGTGAGCAGCATGTTGAATAGCCAAGATTTTTAACAGCAAAAGCAGGCAGGAAAGGCAAAGTTGGCAGGCCTTGAAGACAGTACCATCTATAGAGCAGCTCAGCACTGTCTCCTCTCACTCCCAGCACAGTGAGCTCATTTTCCCCAACTTCAGCAGCACTACTCATCGTCTTCACACATCAGTGATTTGCCAAACAAAAAGCTTTAGGTCTTAACACATACTAACCAGCACTGACTCCCCACTGCCTTCATTTTGCGCCTCACAGATACTCTGGACCTTCTCCATCTACCTGGAGTCTGTGGCTATCCTTCCTCAGCTCTTCATGATCAGCAAGACAGGGGAAGCAGAGACCATCACGACACACTACCTTTTCTTCCTGGGCCTCTACCGTGCCCTCTACATTGCCAACTGGGTCTGGCGCTACCACACTGAGAATTTCTACGACCAGATCGCTGTAGTTTCTGGGGTGGTACAAACCATCTTCTACTGCGACTTCTTCTACCTCTACATCACCAAAGGTAGGTAAACAGCTTGCTGTAATACTGAAAAGTTCATTAATTCTTGCAGTATAGGGTGGAGCTGCAGCTTACCATGTGTTAATCTTTACGTGACTTTATTTTTTGCTGCGTTTGTGATGCATATTGTGCACCTAAAGTCCAGTTTAAAAAACATATCTATTGACTGAGAGTGGGCACCACTGCTTGCAAGGCCCTGGATGTGTGTGTGAAGCACAGCAAAAATTAAACCAGACTTAAGCCTGGTTTAACCTCACCTTGGAAGTTAACAACTGAGGTACATTCGATTCTACGTATATTTTGAAAGATTATGAATAATGCAAAAAAAAAAAAAAAACCAACTAAAAAACTTTGAGGGGAAAAAATAGCTGCAGGCAGACAATATACCTGAAAAAGCAACTGCAGACATATGGAGATGTTATTAAGCCTTCTTTTCCTTTGATAGAGAAGATCAAGTTCTTGATTGTGAAGAACTGATTCTGTAGGAAGATGGGCATCTGCATAGACAAGACACTTTTGTTTTCCAAAATCAGATGCCCCTTCCATTTCAGTGCCATGCTTTGGTAAATGGCCACCAGAGCTTAAAAGTGCATAAAAATGGCATAAATCATCATAGAACATGCTGTGGTTTGCCAAGGCTGAAGGACACTTTAAAACACCTTTCTGTTGGGAAGGATGGAATTAGATGAAATTAACTAAGTGGATAACTATTTTCCTCCTTCTTCACTTTCCCCAACAAGTCTGCCAAAAGCAGTAATGATGATCCACGTTTGAAGTTTCAAGGGATGGATTTTTGGTAGCTTCATGCAATACACCTGCTGATAGAAAGGTGACAGGAGCACTGAGCAGGTGGCTGGCCTTGGCAGATTTAGACTTCCTTCTGTCATTAAATATTCTTGCAGCCACAAAAATACTTTCTAAAACTGCCATCAAGGTGCTCCACATCAATTCTTTGTTCATCTTTTCTAAACTAATTCCCATTTTAGCTCTGCTCCATTCATGTGTCCTGTATTTTGTGAGAAATCCATACCCTTTGTAGCTGTGATGGTGGAACAAAAGGGGGAAGAAACATAACTGCTGCCTTCCAATCTCATACTGCTAGTGGCAGAGCTGCAAAATTTAGATGATACAGGAGGCAGAAGAAAAAACATTTGTAGATGGAACATCACAGCAGGAAGAGAATTGCTTTTTTTTTCTCTTTTCTTTTACACAAATGTTCTGGATCACGGGAGAGAAACGGTGTCTGAAGACATGCAAATACTTTGCAATTATTTATAAGAGCCAGCAATATTACAGCAGGTTGCACCTCTTACATTCTTTCAAAAAAACAAACTTTTTGAAACATTTCTAACACTGAAGAGCTCAGAAAAAAAAAGAAAGCAAAAATGTGTTATATAAAGAAATTGATTTAATAAGACTTCTGAGCCTATACCAAAGCACTGCAAAGGGATTTTTATAGAAAGCTACTTCTTTTTGTCTTGTTTTCAAAACTAGATGAGCTCCCTTCTGTTTAACACAAGGACATGAAAGATATCCTGAGGAAGCTTTCAGCTCCCCAAAACTTGTATTTCACAGAATGGCCAGGGGTGTGGGCAGTCAGGGTAGAGGGAGAAAATCATTTAATCCATGCCCTGCTCACATTTTTCAAGGTCCTGTCCAGCAAGGTTTTGACTATCTCCAGGGTGAAGCCTCTCTGGGCAATCTGTGCCACTGTCTGATCACCCTTACTATAAAATACTATTTTCAGATGTTTAACTGGAAATTCCTGTTGTCCCTTGCTCTGTCTCTGGGCACCACTCAGTGGACTCTGGGCCTGTCTCCATTCCTCCCATCCAGCACTTGCACATGGTGCCCCTCAGCCTTCTCAATGCTGAACGGTCTCAGCTCGCAGCCTGTGCTCCTGCATCAAGATGCTCTTGTGGTCCTTCTTGAATCCCCATCCCTTGTTCTGAGCCTAGAGCTGAACCCACCACTCCAGCTGTGGCCTCCTAAGGCTCAGTGGAGAAGAACTCCCTCCTCATCCTGCTGGCAATGCAGCTCCAGAGGCTGTTTGCTTCATCATGAGGGCACACTGATGGCTTGTATTCAACTTGATGTCCACCAGCACACCTCAGGCCTTTTCTGGCAAGCTGTTTTCCAGCTGGGCAGCCCCCAGCATAAACTGGTACCTGGGGCTGTTCCACCCCAGGGCAGGATGTGCATTCGGCTTTCTTTGACCTTCACAAGGCTCCATCCCTCCAGCCTGGCACAGTTCTTCTGGCCTCGCCCAGTCCATCAGGCCCTCCCGCGTGGTGCATCCTCAGCACATCACAGCCCTTCCCCTCTGGCACCCAACAGACACAGCCCCAGTGCCCACCCCAGTACCACCCCGTGCCAGGCACAGCCACTTTGCACCACTGACCACTGCACATCCAGGACAGTCCCTCATCTGGCCACCTCATCTAAGCCTATGGGCCTCTGGCATTTACCAGAGGCATCTCTGCCATCCCGATGTTCAGCTCAGATGGGCTGGGAAGGGCTCAGCAGGGATCTGGCCACAGACATTGATTCAGGCCATGCTCTGTATCAAAAGCAGAGGAAAGCACTAAAAATAGCCCAAAAAAAAATAAGATGGCCCACCCACAAGAACAAGTAACCATGGAAGTCAAACAAGAAGCTTTTCCTTTACCATAAAGGTGGATAAATAGGTTGTGCTTTCCCCTCTTAGCAGCATTTCATAGTGGTTGTCTCCCATTCGCAGTTTGCAAACCTGGCACTCTAAATCGCAAGGTAGGAAACAAAATTGTGGAAACAATAAAACAATTGAATTCCATTACATTTACTAATTTCCTTGTCTTTCTCTTTGCAGTCCTAAAAGGAAAGAAGCTAAGTCTTCCCATGCCTGTTTGAAGATGTCCCACAGGCAGTGCAAGAAATTGTAAAGACGAAGCTGTTTAAGATCACCGCTTTCCTTCCCTGGCCCTTTTTGACTAACGGCTCAGCTGAGTTTCAACCCAGTGCCAGGAAGACAGGGCTTGGAATGCTTTTCATCCATCAGACTCTTCCCCTCCTTTTTTTTATTTCTCCTCACTTGAATTTGGTGCTAGTGCTGGCCAATACTGAAGTGTTGCAATTTCTTCTCTCCCAGCTCTTCCCAGCATCTACATTCAAAACACACCTCCACTCTGACCCTGAGGCAGCACAAGGGAAAATGTCACACCCACTAGTCCTTCAGCAAGTGCCCATGGTAAAGGAAACATGTATCTAATAAAGTGTGTTAACTTAACTGACCCATTTCACACGTGGCGCTGTGCGACACAGCAGATGCTATAAACTGTTACTTTAACTCTGTATGAACTAACACCCTCTTTTAAATTAATTCTGCCTGACCCTCTCTCTATTCAGGTCCTGTAAGATTCAAAAAAAACACACTGCCTTTGAATAACATGAATCTTCTAATTCCAAGAGTATTCAAACATCCTCCCCGCTCACTTATTTTCAGTTTTCTTATGTTCTACAAACAGGGACAATTTCAATTACAGTTCAGTGGGTTGCCAAGAAGTGTTTCCACCTCCTTGAATTTGACTTCCAAGAACTGGGAAGAACAGGGGCAAAGACAGCTTTACATTCCAAAAATAAAGACAAAGTTCACAATTTATTGACAACAGTGTTTTTATTTATACCTACAAAAGAAAACAAGATGGTATCAAAAGGACAATTTACAAACTAAGAATAGTAACATAGCTCTTAGTATCCTGTGCCTCAACACCACAGATCTATGAATCTCTCAATTCAAGTCTTCATTAATACAACAGGAATGTGTTCAGAGACCAGCAGGTGTGTGAAACAAGATGCTGATCCCACACAAAGCTAGTAACTCTTCCATTGTTCAGAGAAATCCAAACAGTAAACTGCTTCAGGAAGTGGGAGGGGAGGAGACACCCAGCTCAGATATCTGACACTCCCACAAACTTTTTACAGACTGAAAACAATGCAAACAACACTAGAGGCTGTTTTATCAACAAGGGCCCTCCAGCTGGTACATGGAGCAGAGCAGAGAGCACCAGGTAGAGCAGGGGCAGCACATGCCACGGTGCATTCAGCGGTCTGGCTGACACTCTGAATTGAACCGAGACCCTGGACTTCAGCTGACCTCAATGGCAACAAAGCACTGCAAGACTTGGCATCGATGTTTAAACACGCACAAGTCACCCCCAAAAGTGAAAGCTATAACGGATTATAAGGCAGCTTTGGCGGTCCAGAGACCCTTTTTAAAGCCAGTCAGTGAGATGTCCTACTCTTACACCCCTCAAATGCATTTCTGCATTCTACTCTCAAAAGAATAAAAAAAAAGCTCTACATTTGCTTGAAAGGGAGGCCAAAGACCTATCAGTCAGTGCTTGGATAAATAAAGTATTTCTGGCTTTCACTTAACACAAGCAAAGGAACTTCCTGCCCATGCACTGGAAAGATGGAACTAGGGAACTAAGGTTCTACAAGGAATCTCCCTTCTCCCTGTCAGCAACCTACCTGTGTACTGCACCAAAAAAAAAAAAAAAAAAAAAAAAAGAAAAAAGCACAACCATCCCCCAAAATTTTACTCTGGGAAGAAATTAAATGTTAAAAGAAGTAATTTCTGTATAAGCAAGCTCTTTTCCAGGGCTATAAGAAGTTCCACTCTGCTACAGAAGGAGTGGGCTGCCTTGTTCATCCATATGCAAGAACGCCAACAGAAAAAACCCACAAGCCCCCAGCACTCTCCTAATGCAAAGAGCGTGCCTCAAATCAGGAGATGTATCCATCCTTTTGTCATCTTATCAGACCAAGAGCAGCCAACTCCTATTATCATCTACTGTCTCTGAACCGTCTGGTATTAGAAATAACAAGTCAACAACATGCTTTACTAAAGGGGGAAACCCCCCTCACACCCACCTTAGCCTGTAAAATAAACAAGTTTTATTTACGTATGTACTAAAATTTCACTCTTCTCTAACATTTTCTAAAATACTACCTACCTGCAAGAGCTCAGCTCAAAGGGGACCAGTGGAGCAGGGAAATGCACTCAAAAGCCAGAGAAAGCAATAGTCAGTGCAAGGTACAAAAGAAACAAAGCTGCAGAATCAAGATGCACTAACCAGCTCACTGCTTACCTCATGAAAAGGAGACCCCAGGCAATCTCCTCCTGCCTTCCTCCCCCCTCACCCTCCCCCAGCCCACCCTATTCAAACCTCTTAAATTTAAGTGTGGAAAACTCTGTCACATTTTATTGAGCGTAGCGGCACTCAGAACATTCCCTGTGGCAAAAGGGAGTTTGTTTGTGTAGGACAGACAAACAAAATAATGCTGTTCATCATTTCAATTCTGCATAATTTCTAGGCTCTCAATGAAAGCTTCTTTCAATAAACCAAACAGAAATTTGAGAGCAATAATCAATTTAATGATAATCAGGCTCCATGCATTTGCGATGCTGCAATTTAACAATTGCAGGGAAAGAACTTAGCAGAACATTTCAGCAGTGGTACCCACTATGGGTAGATGGTTTTCAGGTAGTGAATAAAAGACAGGTTTGGTCTCTGACACAGGGTTTTTAAACCCAAGCTCCCTACTGCAAGCTGTTACAGGTAGCAAAAAATGGGGCTTCCAGAACCACAGAAATAGCCAACAATACACCCAAGGCTTTACTCTGACCACCACTCAGCTTGGACAAATGAGAAGAGTTTTCCTACGGAAAGTCACCTACAGTAAGATTAGAAGCAGTAATAGTGAGCTATTAAAAAAAAATTAAGATTAGAAGTGAGCATCGCTCCCTTGCATTTATATTTTAAATGAAGTGCTTTTTGGCTCCCCTAGAGTTTCCCATCTCTTCTTCTACCTCCTGAAATTAAGTTAACGTGTTACAGAATATAAACTTCTTTCCCTCAAAAGCAAATTCTCACACAAACCTTAGATACCAAGATGATCCAGCTGGGACTTATCTGCCTTATACCCTTTTCTTTTAGAAAAAATAAGATTTCCAAATTCCTCAACATGCAAGACAAAAATAATAAATTTTCCAGTCAACTATACATATATCTTAAAAAAAAAGAAAAAGGAAAAAAAAAAAGGATAGGATCATTAATGTGGGCTGGGGGCCATTTTTGATGGGCTCAAGGGATTTGGATAGTGAATTTTATGTCTAACCTGCATGAGAGACATCACAATGGGAAAGAAGAGAAAGAAAAGGTTCCTTTAAATGCAAGAGGTCTAGACTGGTTACCAGCAAGTGGTCTCATTTGCGGGAGGGGGGTGGGGGTGGGGGAGGGGGCGGGTACTGGTAGGTGGCAGTCTGTCCCATATAGCCCATCACGTTAGTGGCAGGGGGCTGCGGAAACTGTTGTGACATGAGCGGCTGTGGCTGCTGGCCCGAGCGCCCCACCATCCCTGCAAACTGCTGTTGGGTAGTGCTCTGTGAGGTTCTCCCAGCTGTGGCAGCTGTGGTGCTGGCACCATAGCCACTAGCATTGTACTCTGCAGTGCCATAGCCACTCGTGCCATAGGCAGCTGCTCCATAGCTCCCTTGAGTGTAACCATACTGGCTCTGTGCTGCCCCAAAAGCAGAATTTGGGCTCCCGTAGGCACTGCCATAGGTCTTGTTGGCTCCGTTGGCAAAACTTTCACCACGCTCACGGTCTCTGAAGCCACCTGAGTCTCTCCGGCCCTCTTTCACTCCCCGGAGCCTCCTGTCACACTCTTCCTGGTACATCAGGTTAGGGTTGTTTACCGAACTGCTCGTTCGGTAACGAGAACGACCTCCTGGCGATGGATACATTAAGATTTAGTACCATGAACAAGTCTTAAACAATGATCTCTGGTACACTTATGCCACCCTTTCTCCCTCTTCTACACCTCCAATTTTGCTCCCAAGGAGCACCTTCTTCTGACTGAATGTAATTTCTCTGCACAGCTGTGCATATGCCTTCTTATTTTGTTCAAGGTGTAAACATGAAGTTCAACAAGGGTTCTTTATGTGTAAGTGTTTGGAGAGGAAGAAACAGAAGAAATTCAGGACTAATTTGGAAGTATAAGGAAACTTATACTTCAGGGAATGGGAAGAAAGCATCAGCTCTTGAAATTCAGTGTATCCCTTTACTGATTTCATTTTGGACAGGCATCTTGTTGCCTGTCCTTAGTAGGAGCTGTGAGGAAAATCAGCTCCCTGAGGACCTTAGGAGAGAAAAAGATTCTACAGCTAAAACAAGGGACTGCCTCTCTCTTGGGACAGAAGTACTATGTCTACATCAACAGTTGGGACCTCAAGTATAGAACAGCTTTATTACTGATGTGTTATCTTAGTCCTATACTTACTACTTCCCTACCCTCTCTTAGCATTCCCTCCCTCAAAATGGGTAATGTATCCCCTGTGTAGCCCTTCTCCCTCATGCCATTACCTCCACCACCACCTCCTCCTCCTCTGTGGTCAACAAGCTGCATCAGCTTTGGATTGATGGCTTGATTGGCTTCTTCCAAAACTTTGATAAGCTCCCTGGCTTGTTTCAGGTTTCCTGGTGTGAAGAAGGTGTAGGCAGTACCTTTGTTGGTACTACGTGCGGTACGGCCAATACGGTGCACGTAATCTTCGGAGCTGTTCGGATAGTCGTAGTTTATCACAAATTTAACATCTTCCACGTCTTGTGAAGTGCCCAGAAGCGAAGCACAGTGAAAGGGTGGGGTTGAGGAAAGGGGAGAAGAAGAGAGGACGTGCCAACGAAAGGTGGGGAGCACGAATGCAGGTGACAGTAATAAGAAAAAAAAATACCAAGTTAGTAATTGCATAGAATAAATACAAGACAGACTCATCCCAAAAGAGTAGAAGACTGAAATTTAAGATCATCAGGAACAAAGGTCAGTGTCCTGAAAAAGAGCAGCAATTTTAAAGCAGCTTTGCCCTGTGCTCAGTCATCCTCCCCAGAATGCATTTCTCTGTCTTCTTGTGTCAAAGACACTGATGTTTGGCAATAAGTTAACTGAATTTCATATTT